ATTTCTACCTAAAAGTCAAAGTATCGGTACTTAATATATTTGAGGTAGCTTACAAAGATGTAGCTAACCAAGAAAAATCACCTAATTTACACTACAGGAAAAAATTATTCAAAATAGAAAGCACAAGCAGCAAAATAAAAAATGAACAAATGGGACTATATCAAACTAAAAAGTTTCTGCACAGCAAAAGAAACAATCAACAGAGTGAAAAGACAACTTACAGAGTAGGAGAAAATTTTTGCCAACTATGTATCTGACAAGGGAATAATATCCAGAATATATATAGAACTCAAGCAATTATACAGTAAAAAAGGAATGACCCAATTAAAAAAATGGGCATAGGAGCTGAATAGACATTTTTCAAAGGAAGACATACAAATGGCCAACAGATATATGAAAAAATGCTCAACATCACTAGTCATCAGGGAAATGCAAATTAAAACCACATTGAGATACAACCTCCCTCCAGTTAGACTGGTTATGATCAAAAAGACAGTGAATAACAAATGCTGGCGAGGGTGTGGAGAGAACAGAACACTACTGCTCTGTTGGTGGGAATGTAAATTAGTACAACCCCTTTGGAAAACAATTTGGAGGTTTCTCAAACAACTACAGATAAATCTTCCATATGATCCAGCAATCCCTCTTCTGGGTATATATCCAGAGGAATGGAAATCATCATGTCGAAGAGATACCTGCACTCCCACGTTTATTACAGCTCTGTTTACAATATCCAAGATGTGGAACCAACCTAAATGTCTATTAATAAATGATTGGATAAGGAAACTGTGGTATATATACACTATGGAATACTACTCTGCCATAAAAAAGAATGAAATATTCCCATTTGCAACAACATGGATGAATCTGGAGAAACTTATGTTGAGTGAAACAAGCAAAGCACAGAGAGATAAATACCTCATGTTCTCACTCATATGTGGGAGCTAATAGAGAAAGGAAGGCAGGAAAGAAAGACCACAGTAGTGCCATGATCCAACAAGGGGAGGGAACATTCCTAGGACTACAAATTGAACTTGAGGGAAGAGGGGGAGGGGGGGAGGTTGGGGAATTATTGGAAGGGGACAAAGGGTACAAAAGCAATTTCTGGTAATGGGTATGTCCCCAGTATGAATCTGGACCCCACATCGTGGGCAGGAGGAGGGATAATCAGCTTTGTATCCCATGAATATTCGAAATAAATAAATAAATAAATAAAATTTAAAAAAAGAAATTAAGACTTAAAATAGTACCTAAGAAAGAAGTTAGTGTTTAAGAATGATACTATAACATGCTATACATTAAAAGTAATAGACAAAATTAAGCTTTAAGATCTTTGGAACCCCTACAAAACAGAAAAACAGGTAGCAATTTAAGTATTACAAGACACAAACAAACCTAATACTCAGAAAAACCCCAGCGGATACTAAGATGGTAGACTTCAAAAATAAGTCAATGAATAATATGATAACATCCTCAACTACACAGCAAAAAAGTTGATAAAACAATTTTTCAATACATCCTTAACATAAGCCAATGCTAGCATAACAAATCATAATGAAATAGTCACTGGGAAGAATGATATTTTCCAGATATGTATAGCATTGATTAATCCAAGAATATAAGGTAAAAAGTTTTAAACTTTGTCCTATAGACTACTGGGAGACTTTTACACATGACACCTACTTTTTTTTTTCCTTTTTCTTTTTTTATTAGCTCCCACATACAAATGAGTGCATGTGGTATTTCTCTTTCTGTGCCTGGATTATTTCACTTACAATTTTCTCTAAGTTGACCCACATTGCTGCAAATGGCAATATTTCATTCTTTTTTATAGCAGAGTAGTATTCCATTGTGTAAATATAACACATTTTCCTTATCCACTCATCTGATGATGGGCATTTAGGTTGATTCCTACTCTTGGCTATTATTTACAGAGCTGCAATAAACATTGGAGTTCAGGTGTCCCTTCGACATGATGATTGTCATTCCTTTGTGTATGTACCAGCGGTGGTTTGGCTGGGTCATATGGCAGTTGTATCCTTAGTCGTTTGAAGAACCTCTGTACCATTTTCCGTAATGACTGAACCATTTCACAGTCCCACCAACGGTATACGAGGGTTCCCCTTTCTCCTCATACTCGCCAGTATTTATTATTCAACTCCTACATAGTTAAAGGCAGACAACTGATATAAGACTTTTTCCAGACCCCCTCCTTGTTTCAAAAATACAAGACCTTTGGAATGGTTTCATCTGTCAGCATGTGGACATTGCCCTTAGAATTTCCCTTTTAACCCTAGCTGTATAAAAGCTACAACTCATTCTCAAGTGTTTTTCCTCCATGAGTTGCCAAGTATATCTTAAAGCAACATGACTTTTAAGGAAAATGCAGTGTTGCAGAAACCATCTATCAGAACTTGGAAAGCTTTAATCTGGAAAGATAGACTTGGGTTGTCAAGAGCACTATTTGCTTCTGAATTTTTAATGGAGATTTGCATTTACTTCATACCCCATGCATAATTGGAAGGTCTGTTTGGTAGAAATGGCAGTCCTTTCTGAAGAAGGTACTACTGCAATGGCCAAAAGGGAAATAGGTCATGATTTAATAATCTTGTTTGGTGGAAATTTCATGACATCTGCCAACACTATATATAAAGAAAGCTTTTTTCAGTCCTTCACTTTTATGACTGGTGAATTAACTCATATATTTTACAAAGGAAGTACTCCATACTGTAACGATTTCCATCTTCTGACATCTTCTTCATGCATTTCTTTGTCAGCTTAAGATATGCCACTTGTCAATTATAAGTGAACGAGGGTATATAAAAAATGTAAAAATGCTACTTTACATTAGGAAGATGTAAAAAGCCTTAGCAGAAATTGACAAAAAATTGCCAAATACAAATCCTCACCTTTACCCTGAAATTGACAACTTAAAGTTGAAATTTCTCACACAGGGCTTGTTGAACAGCCTTAAAATGAACAGGAAATCTAATTTACCTAAATTGTGATATATATTCATATTTTGTTAATTTTACATTTTTTGAATAGTATAATACATTAGCTATTTTATAGTAATACATTTTATACTTTATTTCTTTATGTTATGCATTTTATATTTAAGACTTTATAGTCATATAAAATTATAAAAAGATATAACTCCTTTCAATATGATGAATAACATTACCTGATAAATGTTAAATATGGTAACCTTTATTAAAAAACAAAGAAAGTTGAAATGAAATAATCTAGTAAAACAAATAACAATCTTTAAAACAATTTATGCCATGTTATTTAGGGCAGAGTTATGTAAGGTCCAGAAAGGAATACAGTACTATAATTCAAGTAGTTAAACCATTTCATAAGCAACAGCAATATCCTTGTTATAGTACAGTATTCCTATAATAGAATCTTTTTAAAATAGCTTGCCTAAAAAATTCAACTAAAACTGTGATTATGAAAATGGGCTATGAATAGTGTTATTGTGGAATCTATCAAATTAATAGATGGTTCATTGTTTTTTAGCTAAAATTTTTTTGGAGATACTTAGGTTTATTTCTACACTTGCTATGTAACTTTGTTGTTCTTATATTCATGTACTAGAACCTATAACCATATACAAACAAAATAATTTTTTTTGTTCAATTTCCTTTTTTTACAAATACATAAAGTTACAGTGTTTACTCTCTCCCACACGCCTACTAAAGCAATTTTTTCTTTTTCAATTGTGCACATGTGTGTATGTGTGTGTTGCTATGATGTAGCAGGTTTAGTGATTTTTAAAATGGTCAAAATATTTAATATACTTTCCTCAGCACCATTATAACTATCACTAAAAGTTGTGTTCCTGATACTAGCCCACCACTTTCTAAATACGTGGGGGGAAAAAAAAAAAAAAAAAAAAAAAAAAAAAAAAAAAAAAAAAACAGAGAAAGGAAGCAATGAAATCAAAGAGCTTTGAATTAATGAGAAAAAAGCTCCAAATTAACTAAGAGAAGTTAATGGTTATATACTAGTGCCCAAGAGGAAAGTTTGACAAATCTCTCGTTGGACTCTTTTTATGTTCCATATATATTTATTTTTAACAACCAGACATTTTTACTGTAAAAAATACTCCATGAGGATTTGGAGATTCTACAAGATATGTAACTTTGTAGAAGAATATATAGAAAATGTGGGTTTATTATAAAGTCAATATAATCCCATACAGTGAAATATTATACAGCTATTTAACTTCTATAATACAAAAATTGCTTATAAATGAATAGAATCTGTGAACATAGTGCTATTCCATTTTTAAAAAATAAATATACACACACACACACAAACACGTGCATTATAAAGGTGAAGGGAAAAACTAAACAAATTCTTATTATCACTGAGTAATTGAAGTAAGAGGGGGTTTGGTTTTTATCAAACTTACGCTTTCTATATTCCCCAATTTTTATGCAGTCAACATACATAATTATTGATGAAAAATTTAATGTTGAGACAATATAAAATAGAAAAAGCAAGAATTATTCCAAATCATTAACATCCAGGTGGAGAATTCATTTATTTATTTATTTATTTTCATGCTTAATGGCAAATGTATTCAGATCCTTTCCATGCAGCACATGATAAGGCATCTATGTGCTTATTTCTTTTCTGAGTCAACAGTATGGACAACCTTTGAGGATCCACTCATGTCCACGGTGAGCCATCTTGCAACGTGTTCTGATAAGCATCTTACGTAGAGGGCAAAGGAACATTCTTGCTACGTACCGATTGGCCAAGTGGGGAATGCACTGGCAGGACAGCTAACGCCCACTGTCTCCTCCGTCGCTATCAAGCTCATCGTAGGGCTGTTTTAACTTGTACCAACAGATGCCTAAAGAAGCCATTCAGATTTGCCACAGCAGGGAGGACGGCACAGGAGAAGAGGAAGAGGAGAGACCTGATGTCCTATGATGGAGGCTGCTGGCTGGGAAAAACTGGGAACAATCAAAGTGAAGTCCTTCTCCTTAGGATGCCATGCCGAGCAGAAAGCCTCCGAAAAACCCCCCAGTCATTAGGACATTCTTCTTCACGAATGACACCACCTCCTCGGCTTTGCTCTTGACCTCGGTATGTATCTGGTTGCTCCTACGAATCTTCAGCTGCTCTCTGGCTTGCTTCATGTCCTTCTCCACTCGCTGCCAGTCCACTTTGATGTAGCCGGTCTGGTTCGCAAGTTGAAGGAGAAAGAATCCGCCTCCTACGGCTGTTGCAGCCAACTTGCCAACCTTCTGGAATATGAAACCCGTGCACCATCCAGTGACACCTCCGATTAACAGCTGGGTTGCCACGCTGTACTTCTCAGCCGATGGTGCAGATTCCTGCCCAAACAGCCTGCGCCACCATGGCTGCTTTTTATCAAATTCTGTAAGGTTCAGAGAGTTAAAATTCCCCTCAAAGTTTCCTTGACTGGACGCGGCCATTTCAGCGAGCTCGTCTCGCGAGGACGCCGGCAGAGGATCGGAGCGGGAGGACCCGGAGTGGCGCATCGCTGTCGCCGCCAGCTCGGCACGTGGGGCAGATGTTTCCATTCCCACGGCGGCGGCCGAAGAGGCCGGGCGGGGCGCGGGGCTGCGGCTTCCCTCCCCCGCCAGCAGCCAGGTCATAAGGCTCAGTGGGTGGCGTCACAGGCCCCCGCGGCCCAGGTGGAGAATTTTACCCCGCAATTGTTACATCCCTGCACTTGGTCAATGTAGCAAATCCATGTCAATAATTATTCCTAATTTTGCTAAAAATAAATAAACAAAACTAAATGTTCTGCATAAGATGGCTAAACTGTATTAGTCAGTTTCTGTTGCTTAGAATACCTGAAACAGCTTTGTAGCCATGAATATGCATGATCAATTAAAAAAAGAAGAAGAATACCTGAAACTGGCTGAAACTGGGTAATTTATAAAGAAATGAAATTTATTTCTTACAGTTTTAGAGGCTAAGAAGTCCAAAGTCCAGGGAACACATCTGGTAATGGTCTTATACAGCAATGAAGGGTGTCACAAGGCTGAGCAGGACAGCCAGGCTTCTCACACACTCTTCTTACAAAGCCATCATAACCCCATCACACCCATGACCACCCATTAACCCATCAATAGATTAATCCATTCACGAGAGTACAAAAATTTCAACATTTTTCTTAGGATTTAAGGTAACCCAGAAGGAAAAAAGATGTAGCAAAAATGTCAGGGTATGTGATCCCCAGTGTCACTCCCCTTGACAAGAAATCAACTAGTAAAGCACAAAATTACCATACCCGCATCATCAGAACTTAAGGGAAGAGGCAGAGGCCCACAGAGCCCACGAAGAGATAGAAAGCCACCACAGATGGGAGGAAGAATCACTTCAAACAGTCCCAGCTGCTCCCCTGAGACAGTGTGGTGTAGCACACCAAGAAAAGAAAAAAAACTAAGCAGACTCTATGCTTTGATGTCATCCCCACACGTTTTTGGCATTTTTTTTGTTTTAACATTGCCTATATGTTATTATTTTTAATAGGTTTATTCTTTAGTCTTATACTAATGATATAAGTGGCTTATTCATCACCTTTACAGCACTGGAGTATTCTGAATTTGTCTGTGTACTTACTTTATAAGTGAGCTTTGTACTTTCAAATATTTTCTTCTTACACATTAGCATCTTCTTCCAGCTTGGAGAACTCCCTTTAGCATTTCTTGTAGAGCAGGTCTAGTGGAGGCAAATTCCTTTAGCTTTTGTTTGTCTGAGAAAGTCATTATTTCTCCTTTACATGTAATAGTTTTGCTGGATACAGAATTCTTTGTTGATAGTCTTTTTCCTTCAGCACTTAAAATATATCATCCCACTCTCTCCTGGTCTGTAGGGTTTCTGCTGAAAAACCTGCTGAAAGGTGTATTGGGGCTTTGTCAACAGTTACATGTTTCTTTTCTCTTGCTGCTTTCATTATTCTTTTTTGTCTTTGATTTTTGATAATTTGATTATGATGAATTCCTGCACTCATACAATTTACAAAGGTTGAATCATGAAGAATTAGAAAACCTAAATAAGATCGAAGCAGTAATAAATAGCCTGCTGACAGGGAAAATCCCAGTACCAGACAGCTACACTGTCAAATTCCACCAAATATTTAAAGAAAAACGGATGACAATTCTTGTCACTCATCCAAAAATCTGTCAGAGGAGGGAATACTTCCAAACTCATTCTATAAGGCCAAAATTAACCTCATACCAAAATCAGAAAAGGACACAATAAAAAAAAAACTACAGACAAATATCCCTAATAATCACAGATATAAAAATCCTCAACAAAATACCAGTGAAATGAATCCAACAATACATTAAAAAGATCGTTCAGCAGGATGAAATGAAATTCAACCTAGGTGTGTTAGTCTGTTTCTGCTGCTTATAACAAAATACCTAGAACTTGGTAATTTGTAAAGAAACAATATATATTGCTTACAGTTTCAGAGGCTGGGAAATCCAAAATCTGGGGAAAACATCTGGTGAAGGCCTTGTTGATGGTGACAGTGACATAGGGTTCTAACATGGCAGACGGCAGAGCAGAGGGAGACTAACTTCCTCATTCACACTCTTTTCAAAGCCACCAGAACCACTCCCATTATTCCAAGAATGAATCAATCCATCTCCAAGGGTGCAGTCGTCACAATCCAATCACAGCTCAAAGCCCCACCTTTCGACTACCACAGTAGGATTTCCCACCCTCTTAACACTCTCACAGTGGGGACCAAATCTCCAATACAACAAACTTTTGGGGGGACACAATTCAACCCTTGATTTCAGGGATTCAAGGATGGCTCAACATATGCTAATCAAAAAATGTGATATATCACATCAACAGACTGAAGAACAAAAACCATATGATCATTTCATTAGATGCAGAAAAAGCATTTGATGAAATCCAACTCCTCTTCATGATAAAAATACTCAACAAATTAGGTATAAATAAATGTACCTCAAACTATAAAGACCATATATAACAAACTCACAGCTAAGTTCATACTGAATGGACAATAATTGAAGGATTTTCCTCGAAGTTCTGAAACAAGACAAGGGTACCCACTTCCTGTTCTCTTATTCAGCATAGAACTGGAAGTTCTAGACAGGGCACTTAGGCAAGAGGAAGCAGTAAATGGCATCCAAATTAGAAAGGAGGAAGTCAAACTATCCTTATTTGCAGATGACATCATCATGTATGTAGAAAACCCTAAAATCAACCAAAAAGTTACTATGGTTAATAAACAAATTCAGTAAAGTTGCTAAGATACAAAATCAACATACAAAAATTAATAGCATTTCCATACATCAATCAAGAAAGCAATCCCATTTGCAATAGCTACCAAAAAAGAAAAAAAAAAGAAAAGAAATATCTAGGAGTAAATTTAACCAAGGAGGTAAAAGATCCCTACAATGTAAACTATAAAACATTGATGAAAGAAACTGGAGAATACATAACTAAATGGAAAGATGGGTTGCCAGAATTAATATCATCAAAATGCCCATACTACCTACTGTGGTTTGAATGTCTCCCCAAGCTAATGTTGGAACTTAATCTCTAATTGGTATTTGAAAGGTGAATCCTTTAACAGGTGATTGAATCATGAGGACTATGCCCTTGTGAGTGAATCTATCCATTTATTGATCATCATGGGTGTGGACTGGTGGCTATACGAGCAGAGCAAGTGAGCATGTGGAAGCACTCCTGTCATTCCCACCATGTGATACCCTGGTTGTCACAGGACTCTGCAGAGAATTGCCACCAAGAAGGAGATCCTCACCAGATATGTTTGCTTGATGTTGGACTTCCCAGCCTCCAAAACTGTAAGAAATAAATTCTTTTTCTTTATACATTACCCAGTTTCAGGTATTATGAGCAACAGAATATTGACTAATGCACTACTCAAAGCAATCAACAGATTCAGTTCAATAACTATGAAAATACCAACAGCAGTCTTCACAGAAATAGAAAAAAATCTTAAAATTTATATGAAACCACAAAAGACCTCATATAGCCAAAGCAACTTTGAACAAAAAGAACAAAACTGGAAGCATGACACTACCTGACTTCAAAATATATTATAAAACTACAATAACCAAAATGGCATGGTACTGGCATAAAAACAAACAAATAGACCAATGGAAAAGAGTAGAGGGCCTAGAAATAAATCCACACATTTACAGCCTACTGGGTTTTAACAAAGGTGTTAAGAATATACATTGGTAAAGGAAAGCCTCTTCAATAAATGGTACTGGGAAAGCAGGATATTCACAGGCAGAGGATTGAAAACTAAACCCCTATCTGTCACCATATACAAAAATTAATGCAAAATAGATTAACAACTTAAATTTAAGACCCCAAACTATGACACTACTAGAAGCAAACATAGAGGAAACAATACATGAAAATGGACTGGGCAATCCTTTTTTGAACAAGACTTTGTTTCTTTGATTTGAAAATGAGTTTTGTTTTACCAGTCATATATCATAGCATACCTCAAAAAAAAAAACTAGAATCAACATCACCCCAAAATAGGTAAAGGAATTTTTATTCCCCTTTTAGGGAAAGTATGAGCACATTTTGGTTGTTGATGAGATGGTTGCACCACAGTTGAATAAATGGCATAGAAAAGGCTGGAGTATGAATGATCAAAAACTATTACAGGATAAGCATGGGCAATAAGACTTGGGATGATCTTGAAGGTAGAATACTGTTATTATAAGTTGGTCAACCAAAGAAAAATCATCCCTCTAAGCTTAATTTATGTATCAGTTATAGGTACATATTTCAGAGAATCAGAACCACTAGGAATGACTTAGAATAAGGCATTTATCATAGGAATTTGACCTCATGCAATTGTAGGAGCTGGTGAAACACTCTTGGTTCAGTTATTTCTTCTCTTCTAGAGCTGATTCTGGATTCATGGTGCAGGAGGTTGAGAAAGAAAGATAGACATGAAGTTGGGGACAGAAGTAACAACTGAAACCCACAAGGAATAACCTGGAAACTGCATCCATCTATCCCTTGTTTGTATCTCCTCATCAATGCCATGGATTACATACAGGAAAAGTTGGCACTTGTCATGCAATCACACTAGAAAATGACCAAGGATTTAAGAAAATTGGAGAAAGAAATCCTATGGAACTAGTATGACCTGTAGGTCCAGCTGCTATTCAGATACTCAAAAACATGCATCAAATACAAGATTTGCCCTACATCAAACTTCAGTGAACAAAAATGTCTACTGTTTCACTTCTACCTTCCAAATCTCACCCAAAATTTTCTTGTGGCCAACACTAATCAGAAACATATAGGGAAGGAAATTCTTAGAAACATCATTCAGCTTAGCCAAGTTGACACAGTACAGAGTTACTACAGTCCATTCCTCATCACCATGGTATCCATATATCTCTTAAAATCACACTCAAATTTCAGATAAAGACACAAGCAAAGTCTTGTTTCTGCCATGCATCTATGATGCCACGAACAAACAAAACCATACTAACTCTCTCCCTAAAAGAAGAAAAAATATCATTTATTTTCATTT